TAGAGGTCTTTTCCAACATTAACGATTCTATGGTCCATGCCTTTGTGGAGAAAGGACTGAATGAGGTAGTGAGCTCTGTTTTTATCATATATGTAAGAGAAAGTTCTTTACTTCAGGTTATAGAAGTCAGGGAAGAAAAGCTCTGCCCTGGAGGATGGTTGTTTCTTACAGATGTTTTGTACTTCCATGTTGAGTTTGAATAATTCAGGTAAAACTGGGCAGATCAGCAATGCATAATCCTATTAGTTTGACAGAATAATCTGTGTGATAGATTCTAATACTGTTAGGCCATCTGGGGTGACTCCATCATATCCTCGTATGCTAGGACTGTGAGTGCTTGGTTTTGTTCCCAGTGATTCTCTTTCTGTATGATGTGATGGGCAAGTTTGGCACTGGAATATCAGAGACAGTGATTTCAGGTAAAGATAATCAGTGGAGAGACCAGTGGAAACATTGCATTATCAAAAAAAACATGGCAATGTTGTATCACTGGACACAGAGTGTGCTCATAATACATTTCCACTGGGAGTTGATTGATTAAAGAGAGGCCAAACTGCAATTGTGAACTTTGCATTACTGGCAGAAACTGGTGCTTGAACAGTGTTTTTCTCCCTTCAGAAGGCAAGGTCATGACTTAATCTGAAGCCATGCAGTAATTGTGTCATGTGTGTCATACTGTTTTTATGAAATTAATCAAGTTTCTGCAACTTCTCAGATTACACAGTAAATAACTGGGAAGAACTACCCTTGTATCCTTTCCATTCCACTGTCTCCATTGAATCTGACACTTCAGCAAACTCAGTGATTAATAACAGAACGTAACTAGCTTGGTATAGAGGTGAACTATGGAATCTGATAACATAAGCTGTGCTTTTTACTTCAGAGCTGATAGAACATGCTGCTCTTCACATTTACAGGCTCCTGGTAATGGAGATTAATGATAATCTAATTAACCCCACTTCAACAGGGAGCACTTGCAATGCTGGGAGTCACGATGAGTTGGTACATTCTGTGCTTATTTTGTGGTGGTAGTCTGCTGCTTTTAAGACAATTTGTAAGATAATAGCTTAAGAAAACATGTTTTGCATTAGTAAAGTACTGGTTAGGTCATGTGCAGAAGTATAACTTTACTATGAAACTTTAATTATTTTTTTTTAAAATTTTCATATGCACATGGAAATGCCTGTGAACCAGTTATTTGAGACTGTATATGTATGTGTAAGTTACCTGGCTTGGAGTGAATTATGCTGTTTTTACGCATAGACAGACTGTAATTTGTACTCTAGAGGGTGCTACTGTTCTAATTGGTGAATAAACTCTTGCCCACTTGTAAACTGGCACTGTAATTATTTTTGACCGTACAAAGCTCTTACTGAAGTGAGCAGAAATTGTATCCCACTGTTCCAGCATGACTAGAAACCAGTGCTTAGGCTAATCTAAATCTTGTACATGCTGTACAGAAATCATACCACCAATGCTTCAGTAAATTGGCAAGAAGGGCAAATTGCAGTATTTAAGTGTGTGAGGTGCTGTGCAAATAGAGACTTACATGAGCAGGGGTTTGTGGGACTAGAACCCATATTTTTACAGGATGTGTGTTCTTTAATAAAGGCTCTTGCTGGTAAATTCTGCACTGTGGTGTTTAAGAATGCAAATTGAATAAGCGTAAGTCTGTTGGCATGGTAGGAAATAATTTTCCTGTTGATTTTGTTGCCAACTGACTGTAGTACCAGTGTTAATGCTTTGTTCACTTATCATTGGTTTCATGGGATAGTAAGGTATTGTGGAGATGTATATAGCTGCTCAGTGATTTGAGGGAAACGTTTCAGTTTTTATTTAAAATATATTTTAAGCATTTTCGTTACTTGCTGCTTCATTGTCCTTGCCAAAACTAAATAGCATGAGGTCATATTTGGCTGTATCTATGACAACTCTATTTCATAGTTGTTTAACTTCAAATGTGAAAGATTTTTGTCCAGAAAATTAATTGTGAAGCAAGAAATTCAAAATACGTGAAATATTTTTTGCATAGATTCTAACTACAAGAAGTTCGTGCTAATGACTGAAATAAGGAGCAGCGAGTGCCAATAAGGCTCTCAGGTGCTTTGACTAGAAGTCCCAGTGTTGGAAGCATTACTTCCTTTCTGCTGAGGTGCTATGGAGTCGATGTACAAATATTCATGCTTAGGGATGAGATGAATAAGGTGTAACTGGAATTTCAGACTACATTTCAATTACAGTTCTGTAAGTTAATAACACTGTATTATTCTATTCCCCATTTTCCCTCAGGAAAATAAGGTAATTATTTAAGTACTGTCTTTATGATAGGATTGCAAATAGGAAAATAATCAAATAAGGCATCACTGTATTTCCTGAGCATGGTAAAAAAAAAAAAAAAAAACAAAACAAAAGTTCTATTTCACAGCATACTCCTAATATGAGTACCTCAGAGTTTGTTCTGGAATTACAGAATGAATAAAGCTGAAAAAGCCCTTTAAGATCATCAAGCTATCATCACCATGCCCACTAAACCATGCCCTCAGTGCCACATCTCCACATGTCTTCAACTCCAGGGCTTCCCTTGGCAGCTCATTCCAATGCCTCACAACCCTCTGTGAAGAAGTTTTTCCTGGTATTCAACTGAACCTCCCCTGGTGTGACTTAATGCCATTACCTCTCTTCCTACCACTGTTATATGGGAGAAGAGACAGACTCACACCTCACCGCCAACTCCTTTCAGGTAACTGTAGAGCATTATAAGGTCTCCCCTGAACCTCCTCCTCTTCAGAATGAACAATCCCAGTTCCTCAGACACTTCTCATAAGACTTGTGCTCCATTTTGCCAGCTTTGTTGCTTTGTTTCCTGGGACATGCTCCAGCACCTCAGTGTCTTTCTCTTTTCATTGTAAGCTCTTATTTAATGAGATCCAGATGAAGTCTTGCTGTTTGTGGATCAGCATTTGGAGAATATTATTACAGATTTTTATATAGTTAATTTTGGCCAATGCTAATTTGAAATTAAATTTCTTTGAATGTTAGTGTCATGCTTGTTTTCAAGCCCGAGATGATATAACTTCAGTACTTACTATGCTGTTTATTCTCAAAACTGAAGTCATTTGTTGAAATATGAATTGTGCCAGAGCATGTTAGTTTAAAGGTTGCATCATCTCTAAATGATGCTGAAGTAGAAAAAGTAAATTTAAAGGGGTAGCATTTCACCTTAATTAATGTTTGGAGCACATTCTAATAAATGCAATGAATCTAATGCTAAAGAACAGAGGAGCCTCTCTTTGGATCTTAGTGGCTTCTTAGTTCTATTTCCTGTCATGAAGAGGTAATCAGCTGCTGACATTTGTTAAGGTCTGAGCTCTGGTTGACTTATTGTCTCTATATATGGTCAAATTACCATTCATCACCGAAGAAAGTGTATTACTTTAAGATTGTTTTTCATTGTTAAAGGGGCAGCTGCACTACAAATTCACTGAGTTATGTGGCCAACATAATTCTTCTTTAATTTGTTCTATATGATGTCCAATAATGTATTTATTGTATGCATTGCTGCACTGTAAAACATTTTCAGTCATATTCAACAATAGTATTGCTCTTAAACTAATAATCAGGACTGGAGTTTTAAATATTCTTTACAAAGCAGTGAATCTTTTTTTTAAAGAGACCTTTAAGCAGTCTGTCCTTACGAATTGGTCACTTTTCTCCTGAAACAGGTTTGGTGTTAACTTTGAACGTGGTACCTTCCTTTCTGCCCTGTAGCTTTTTTAGTCTTGAGTAATGTGGATTTTCTTCTTTTTCTGTGCCTACTAGATTAACGTGGTTGAACTGATACTCCACAACAAATAGCATTACAAAACTTAATTTTGTCTATGCATCTTCAGTTTTCAAGTAATTTTTTTAAATCCCTGTATGAAATTTCAGAACAAATTTGGAAATAAAAATAAGTTATAAGTAATAATTCTGTAAGCTTGTGATGTAAGTATATTGTGATGTACTTGTAAGTATATTTATCTTCTTTATTGGCAAAATTATTTGGTAACATTATGCTCAATGTGCAACTCATGCAGTAAAAGAATGGATTTCAAACTTGGTATCTTGTCTGCATTTAATAAAGAAGCCAGTATGAATCAGTAATACAAATGCTTTCTTCATTATTTTCTTACTAATTGCATATTCGTATAGAACTCATTGCTGAACAATGGTTTAATATCACATTCCAGCATAAACAATTTACTTATTGCCATCAGTTATTTAAAAAAAAAAATAAAAAAATTGAGGAGATCTTTAAGAAATATATTGCCAAAGGCACTGTTTGCCATTGATCATTAAGATACTTGGTTCTTCCTGTGGTGGGCCTCACTGGGAAAAGAATTTTCCAGTAGCTGTAATGAGTTTTGTTACATTGTTCTTCCACTGATAAGATAAATTTAGTTTAACAGATAGCATTTTTAGCATTTTGTCCAATGTTGAAAATGAATAACATTCTGTTGAAACTTGCAGTGTTCTATGTTTTATTTTTGTTCTAAGTGTGGCAGATTTTTACTTGCTATTAATAAAGCTGGGAAAGGTACCTTAAGCTTTGGCCTGAATGAAGAAGATAAAGGGATACAGTCTTTTTTTCCCCAACAAGTTGTTTTGTTTGTTAGTTTGCTTATTTTCTTCTTATTTACTCCTAAGAAGTTAATTGCTAGATTAGACATACAACTTGCAAAAGTCTAGAAAACTATCTGCTTCTTAGGCCTTAGTGATTGGACTATTGTGTTTTATCACAATAACTGCAGTTTATAACAGCTTATAATTTCTCTTTCTAACTAATTACAATGACACTTTAATGTTGAAAATCATGTTGGGTGATCTTAGGGGAGAATCACAACAGTATGAGATGGGATATTAAAGACAAAAGAGTGTAAAAGAATTTTTGTATGAAGGAAATAGGGGGATCTTTATGTATTACTGATTACAGGTATATATTCTCCCTTTTTTTCCTGCAGGGCCAAGGCTTTTCGTGGAAAAAAGGTCCATGGAGAATATGACATTAAGGTTGAACAGGTAATTAAATGACTCAACCATCCATGCATTTTTTTTTTTTTTTTTTTTTTTTTGCACAGATATACAGCTAGATATACAAACATATGTAGACACACGTGTAAAGGCTGCTCCAAAAGTAATGCCTCCTATTTTATTATGTTGGCCCACAACATTAGAGGTGGATGTTTGGTGATATGCTAGTAGAGGCTGAAACTTTCCATTAATATTCCATTACATTTTGTTGCTATGTGGCAGATGGCAGAAGAGAGGCAGTCTAACAAAATAACGTATGACATGGAAGTGTGTGGGGAGAAAAAGGATTTGATAGAATTTCTCTGTGTGAAAAAAGTAGCCCCCACTGACATTCATCAACGCTTGCTGAAAGTTTATGGAGACCAATAAAGCAGATGTGAGCACAGTGAGACTGTGGGTGTTATGTTTCAGCAGTGGCAATAGCAACAGTGAGCTACCTCCTCTGGTGCAGCTTGTTGTGAGCGTGGTATGCAGGCTTTTGCTCATCACTGTCAAAAAATGTAGAGCTAACGGTGATGACTATGTTGAAAAACATTGTTCTATAGCTTAGAATTGGCTTTATCAGACAGTGTTATCATGTTATTTGTATTTATTGTAGTTTCTGTGAAAAAAATTAGGAGGCATTACTTCTGGAGCAACCTACAAGTTTATAGATGTGTACGTGTAGTCCTTTGTACTTTAACAAAACTCTCAAGTCAGCTTACCTAAATTCACTTTAATACTACAGCATCTTGCTTGGCTCTGTTCTTTACACCACTAAATACCTGTCTCATGTTCTGGCTTGGAACAGTTTCACGGGGATCTTCAACAGTATTGGTGGAGAGGGGAAAAAGAAAATGCTATTTTGTCTCCAGATACTATTCTCACATGACAGACTGTGCAGCTGATATCATGTGCATTCTTTACTATTAACAAAAGCTCTGGGTGACTAGAGTTTCCTTCGTATGGTCTCTCTTAGGACCAGATCTACCTTAAATCAGTATGAATTTGAAGGTTTCTGAACCCTCTTAATTACTCTGTAATACATCAGCATCTTAAATTGTGTACAAATATCACTAACTTTAGTTAGTTTCTTATTACCAAAGAGCATTATTTTATTTTTGTACTACTTTACAGCATCCAACCTATAATCTACGATATTTTCTGTTGTATGCTAAGCTTTTAAAGTACAAAACCCTATACTGTGAATCTTCTTAATCATAGAATATTATTAATGAATGGAAGAGATTATTTGTCAATCTCAGATTTAAAAAAAAAAAAAGATTTAATACAAATATGCCAGTCTCCCACCTTTTGCAATATTTTTTACAGCAATCTTAAATGTTCCCCCTTGCGTTTAGAACATCATTATAATGATTCAAGGAAGTATGTAAGTATATGGAATTTAATGAAGAGACATCCGTGCCTGAAGTCAAGAGCATACTTAAGCCACGGAGTTGGAATGGTGGCTAGAGTAGTCAATACCTGCCTTAACTGACCGCTAAATTCTTGTAGTCTTACCCAGATTTCACTTATAAACCTTCAACTATACAGTTTTTCAAGAGCAGACTAATGAGAATTCTGACAGTCTCAATTCTTTATTAGTGTCTGGGATAGCACAGACACTTTTGTTTATCCTCCAGAAGACACTTGGCTGCATTTCAATAATTCTGCTGTGTAATGTTATTGTAAAGTGCTTTGAGAGTCTAAGCTGATGAAAGACTGGGTAAATGAAAAACATCCTGTCTGTTTATTTCAAATAACTGTAGATTTAGAGTATGGATTTGGTTCCTTTCAAATGCTGCATTTTCAGTGTGAGAACATAGAGAAAATTATTCACTTGTGAGTTCTGCAAGTCAGCTGTTTAGTAGCACCATATGTTTTTGAAAATAGAGTAAAAGCACAAAAAAGAAAGTAGTGAAGTATATGAAGAGAATGGGAGAAAAATTAAAACACGCTGTCATAAGAAATTCTTTGTCAGATTTCTCTTCATACTGGTTTTATGCTATTTGCTTCAAAACATTAGGTACATTTTTGTTCTGCCTGTGTCAATCTCTAGTGTACACCATACCAAGCAAATATATAATCTCTACTGTGTCCCAGTCCTTTATACAGCTTTTTTCTTTATATTATATTTTATCCAAGTGTGTTGTGCCATTACCCATACTGTGACCCACCCTGTTGGTTTAATATTCTTTCAGTGCTTGTTGTGTTCCAAATATGTATTGTTAGCAGTTCAGATACATAAAGAAAGGGCTTTGGGGAAATAAAGGTAAAATAAATCAAATTGGCTAACGTGAATCCTCTTTTCATAGGCAGAATTCTCAGAAATCAACTTGATAGCCCATGCTGATGGCAATTATGCAGTAGATATCCAAGTATTTCGGAATGGCACTAAAGTTGTCAGGTAAGAAAAACAAGAAAACAACAGAAAGCAATAGGTGGCATAATTTATGTGTATAAGATGTGCTATTTTTATGTGTGGTGGAGATATTGACAAATACAGCACACCTCGATCACTGACCATGACAAGAATCTGAACAGTGGAGTAGGTCCTGAGACAGGAAGTAAATCTCTCAACATTTTAAATCACATGGAAAATGGAGCAGGTCCTCTTTGAGCTGTCTGAAACTGGCTTTTACCTGACTTCAGCTGCTGAGGTTTTTCTCGCAGATGCCACCCATGCAGCTCCTCACTACCAAAATTTTGCCATGTAAGCTCAATATAAAAGGAATTAAGTCTGGTATAAATACATGTATGGGAATCAGAGTTATAATTCGAGTCCTGTATTTCTGATTTATGCAGTCTTGGTGGTTTAGTATGTGTCAGACTGTTATAGATGAGAAATAATTGTTTATAGCATTGAGCGTTTTCACTGAATCATAGAATAGCTCAGGTGAGAAGGGATCTTAAAGATCATCTAGCTCTGTTGTGCTGTTGGGCAGGGTTGCCAAGCACTAGACCAGGCTGCCCAGGGCAAGATGGGACTTCACAGGGGCTGAGCAGGCTATTACCTCCCTCACCCTTCTGGCTGCAACTCCTTATCAGGGCTGCTCTCAACGAATTCTTTCTCCAGGCTACAAATATCTGGGATTGCCCCAACCAAAGTGCAACACCTTGCCCTTGGCCCTGTTGAACCTCTTTAGGTTTACATAGGTCCACTTTTCAGGTTTGTCCCAGGCCAGTCTGGATGGTATCCCTTCCTTCCACTCTGTTAACTGCACCAAACTTGCTAAGGGTACGCTCAATCCCACTGTCTGTTATTGATTAAAAATAAAAAAAGTTGAAGAGCACCGGTCCCAAGACAAACTCTTCAAAGACACCACTCATGAACAGCCTCCATGAACACCTGGGCACAGATTCATTTCCCACAACGTTCTGGCTGCTGGCAGAGGCATTTGTCTGCTTTGTTTATCAGTTCCTGAGCAACAACAGACATAAAAGTATCCCAAGAACATACTCACAGTTTATATAAGTGATTTATTTATCTTCCAGTGGCAAAAAAAAAAAAAGCACCTGAAAAGCCACGATAACTTGTCTCTCTTCTTAATAGAGCTGCAATATTTTCTAGCTGCTGATATTCTCAAAAATAATTTGATCATTGATTAATCCCAATATATCTCTTCCTTGCTAGGTCATTCAGACCTGATTTTGTCCTCGTTCGGCAACATTCATTCAGTATGGCAGAAAATGAAGATTTCCGAAACTTGATCATTGGCCTGCAGTATGCAGGCATCCCCAGTGTCAACTCCTTGGAATCAATCTATAACTTCTGTGACAAACCATGGGTGGTAAGTGATGTACTGAAAAGTTCTCTTGGTGCAAACTTTGGAACTTACTTCTGTTTGCTTATTTAGTTCTTGCTCACAAATGCTGAGTGACCAACCGTAAAGTCACAGAGCAGTGAAACATTTGTGAGAGGAATAAAAATCAAAGTAGGGTATTTAAACCTTTTTTTTCTTTTCCAAAAAGACAGTGTAGGCAGTGTGGAGATGGAGAAAAATATTTGTGGTATAAATACTGAAATAAGTGAGGAAACTAATGGAAAGCCTATCCACTACTAACATCCTCAAGTGAGGAGAGTATTTATTCACAATTTGTGTGGGAAAAACGAGCTGAGAATATTTTTCATATTTGTGGTTTTGAACATAATTTAAAGACTTTTAGCCAGTGTTTTCCTCATGCCTGCAAAATTTTTGGGGCTATGCTTCAGTGAGGAAACCTGAAGCTATTAGTTTCATCATTTGAAAGCTCTTTTCATAATCTTGGGTGCACTGGGTAGGAGTTGACCTTTTTACAGTTACACCTGGAGTAATGAGGCACATTGGAGACTCACTGAAACACTTTCAGTGTAGAAGCTAATTCTGCTTCTCATTGCACACTTTGTTGTGATAGAGGTAGACTTGGATGATATTTTTGTTCATAATTAGCATGAACAAGTTAAAATACGATGCTGTAAAAGATGATTATGGATGGTACTGTCATTTCCTTTCATAGATATGTTCAGTTGCCAAGACCTAATGAAGCTTTAAAGGTTAGTACTTGTTATAAGTAGCCAGCAAGACCTGCTTTTTTCCTCTTGATGCTTAAGAAAGAAAATAACTTAGTACAGGTATTTTTCACACTAGAGGAAAGCTTTATTGTAATACCTCGTGGCCTCAAAAATATTTATTTTACATTTACTTTGAAGACCACCACAGAATACTGTCAGAATATTGAAACATATCTTGCAGTTAATTTTATCATACTTCTGTGTTGCAATAAACTACAGCAGAGAATAAAGAATTGATAGTCTTTACAGCTTTCCAGAATACGTATTGTACATTCCTGAATGAGGCATGTTTAAATGCAATAATGTTTAAATGTTTAAATGCAGTAAAAAGAAACCAATATTCTTATGGTGGCATTAGTGTCATGGCTCTTCCTACACCAAAGCAAGATGTTTCTTCTATCTGGTATCATTTCACAGGTGTGAAATGAGCTGATTATCCTTTCTGATAATAGCTGAGGGTAACTGAGTGTTGTAGAAATACTTGCTCTAATAACTGCCATATCTGCTTATGTTTGATTTATTTATTTTCATATATTCTCTTTTGGACTTAACTTTCAGTACTATTTCCAAGCCCAGATATGAATGCCACTAATTTTTTTTTTTTCTTTCAGTTAAGCTTACTTTATTTGAATATAGAGAATGATGTTAGTTTCACTGACAATTTTCTACTTGCTATTTCTATCTCTGACAGCCAGAACACATTTTATTTGAACTGCCTAAATTTTACACAATCTCAGTACATTTCACATCTCTTGGATACTCCCTCTCAAAATACCTATCCTGAAGAAAAATATCTATCCTAAACTATTGGGTCACTTGTTTCAAGCCAATATCTTTCACTTTAAAATTTTCTGCCGTGTTTCCTTGAATTGAAGTTGTTTTTGTTACGATGTGTGACAGAAGGATTGCCTTAGTTCTGCTTTACTATCTGTGGCCATCAGCTGAGACTGCAGATGTGCCAAGTGGTTCCTCTTATAAGTTTATAGCTGGACCATACCTTAATTTATCCTACTTTAAAAGAATGCAGAGTTTTAACCTGAGGAAAAAATAGTTTATCAAAATATGAGGAGTCTTGTTTGTGCTTTTAACTTGAAATGTTGTGATTTCTGTTCTCTGTTGTAATGGGAGATGCAGAGACAACCACGTTCATCCATGTTTCTTTGTGAAATCTTTGTCAAGTTTAGGGATGGTGGCCACTACAAGATGTCATGTAAGCCTGTTACAGGTCATGTGTGGATTTAGTATTCAAAGGGTAAAAATCCATCGGTCCTTTGATGCAGCCAATCTCATAAATATTCAAGTAATGCAGCAGAATGCAAGACCTGTTTATTTTACTGCTATCTTCTAGCTTGTTAGATTAACCCAAACTCAAACATGCTACTTTGCCTATGTAAAATCCTGACAGCAAAATATATTCTAAAGAAAAATAACTAAGAAGAAAAATAGGTTTCACTTCATACATATTTTTTTTTAATAATGTGAATCTTAGCATCAGGAAAGAGCATATTCAGCAACCATGAGTGTCCGTGTCAACTTTGCAGTAGTGCAAGTAAGCAAAAATGTGCATAGACTGATGGCAGATTAGACTCATTTCTTCACAGCCATCATGGTTGCCTTTCTCAACAGTTCTCGCTAGCATGGAAGATCTGATGTTTTTTATGAATACTTCTATAAAAATTGCAGATTCAAAAGCATGAAAATTACAAAGTAAAAGTATAGATAAATTCAAACTATCGTCCTTATTAATAGATAAGAAATAGATCTCTTCTATAATGGAAAATTTGATTTGTAGAAGTGAATTAAAATTCTGTAACAGCAGAAAAACACAAAGTTACACAAAGACTCGCTGCGTTGGATCCTAGAGGTTGAAAAATTACTGAATTAGCTGTGGACATCAATAATTTGAATTTACGTAAGTGTAAAATCAGGAGAGCCATATAGAATTTGTAGAAGGGGAATTCAGAGGGCCATGGAATAGAACAAGAGCTAGAATCCTAAATACAAGATCTTTTGTTTCCTAAGTAACTCCGCAGTAACAGGTCTTTGCTTTTATTAGAACATAGAACACAGCATTTTTTCAACTCTGAAGGCAGACTGACATTAGAAACTACTGCACATTCCTGTAATCTTCTGATAGGATGCTTTACACTGCATCTGCAGATGCAGGTTTCTGTGTCACTGCCAATAGGCAGTCAGCAAGTTTGTATTTAAACTTTTATATTTGTATGTTATTGAAAGATGGGAGTGTGGTGGGAAAGTTGTCAGAACACAGTCAAAACATTTCTAAAATCAAGTCTTAAATCCTGTTTTCTAGTGTTGGGACATACATAGTTCCTTCAAATGCAAGTCAAAAGTTCAAAGCACCGTATTGCCCTTTGAAAATTTAAGATGCTAGCAACTGTGGCAAAGAAAATATTGAATTGAATGTGTGTGCGGTGAGGTGTTTGCATACTGAAATATGTTAATGACTTGGGTTATTACAGAACTTCTCTTATTTCACTTCTGTGATAATACTTACCACCTACCTCATGAAAAATGCATGATCCTCGCTTTAGAGATGGCTTCTACTTCAATGCTAGTGAGAACATCAGAACTCAGGTTGAAAGCATGAGTTTTACAAATAGAGACTGTTTGTTGTTATTACTAAGTGCATCCCGAGCTATGGAAGAACTGTTTTAAGGTTAACTTCTCACAATAATTGGAATATTTCCTTGCACTGTCATGTTGCAAAGTCATAGGTTCTATTGAGATAAATTGGCCTAGTTAATTTATAGTTACCTTGGGTTCAGTTGATAACAGAAGCATATATTTTTCTTTGCTGGTTTTATAATCTATTTTATGACAGTACTCAAATCAAGCTGTGTTCAGCACCTGTTATCTCACTGACGAAACACCAAGATTTATAGACTAGTTATTTTATTGTCTATTTTACTTCAGAAAAATTCATTCCAGAAATAAGCGAGACCTTACTTCACTGAGGCTTATGAGACTGTAATCTTTCTGGTAGTATGTCAGTATGTGGTAGATGTCAGTAAGCAAAATATGTAATCTCAGAGGACAGAAATAATTAAAAAAAGTGAAAATAATGCCAATGCCTGAAGTGATCTCATGCTTATGATTAGGGCTATACTTGAAAAAAGAATAAAATCCATTGTATTGTGTTGCTATTTTAAAGAAAATATATAATACTGTTCTGCCAGTGTATTTCTGCATTCTTCCTATTATGATCAATGTGAAATTTGATTGTTTAAATGTTTGCATCAAGTGAACTCTGCTCTTGATTTTTACATTTAATTGTAAATATTGATTTTAGAAGCACAGTCTTGGAGTACTACAGACCACTAACAGTGATCCATGCTAACTGTTCATCTGTACTGTGTATAGCAAATATCCAGTAAGTGGAATTATAAAGTGAGATAGAATTAACAGGTGAGGTTACTTAACATACAAACTCTGGCTTCCTTGCTGGGAGCTGTAAAGTTCAATGTCCATAGCTGCTATAAATAGACTATTTTATTTTGATTAAACTTTGGCTGTGACATAGCAGTTTCTTTCATTACAGAAACTGAATTGCTGTTTCTTAGGTTCAGATACTGATAATGTTTTAACAGAGCACAGATGACAATTCCTGCAGTTGTATGTAAGAAATATATATTTTTGAAGAGGAAGAAAATCCTTGCGTAATCAACCAGATTCCATGATGGCTGTTCTCCCTCTGTTACTGAAGAGGAAAAACATAGCAGCTCTGTGACTGTCTGTAAATCTGTCTTCTCGTTAGCGGGACTTTGGGAGGCTGGCTCGTTTAGGAGGATTCAAGGGCCTACTTAGACATTAACTACACAGTCATTCTGGTGAAGGAGATGGCAGAACCTACAGAAAACATGTGAGCATTACGACTTAGCTGCTGCCAAGCTGGTGGGAGCACTTGAAGCACTGACTTGTTGTAATCACAGAAGGGATGTAGGAGCCCACTGTAGCGTGTCAAGCTGCTGCATAGACATAACAACCTGTGAAGGGTGTCTGTTGCTGCACGGATGGGAAGGCTGGATACTGAGCAGGCTCAGCCTCTAGTGAAGAAAACTGTTGGCGTAGTGACAAAGTGCTACATTATTCTCCTGTTCAGCAGTGTGGGAAATAGAGGGAGAAAAATAGGAATTCTTTCCTGGTCAACAGCTGGAAGAGTGGAATTAAGATCCAGAAAACAGACTTATCTATATTTTAAAGACACCTGAAAGATTC